CTAAAAGACGTGCAGCATGTACCTGATTTGAGGATGAACTTGATCTCGGGAATTGCTTTGGACCGAGATAGGTACGAGAACTGTTTTGCAAATCAAAAGTGGAGACTCACCAAGGGATCATTGGTGATAGCAAAGGGAGTTGCTTGTGGCACGTTGTACAGGACAAATGCAGAAATATGCCGAGATGAATTGAACGCGGCACAAGACGAGATTTCTACAGATTTGAGGCACAAAAGAATGGGCTATATGAGCGAGAAGGGATTGCAGATTCTTTCCAGGAAATCACTCATCTCTTTTGCCAAAGGTACAACAGTAAAACCTTGTGACTACTGTTTACTTGGTAAGCAACATAGAGTCTCATTTCAGACATCGTCTGAAAGAAAATTGAATATGCTTGATTTAGTATATTCTGATATTTGTGGTCCAATGAAAATTGAATCGGCGGGCAGTAACAAATATTTTGTTACTTTTATTGATGATGCTTCACGTAAATTGTCGGTTTATATCTTGAAAACCAAAGATCGGGTGTTTCAAGTTTTCCAGAAGTTTCATGCTCTGGTGGAAAGGGAGACCGGTCGAAAGCTAAAGCGTCTCTGAAGTGACAATGGAGGTGAGTACACGTCAAGGGAATTTGAAGAGTAATGTTCAAGTCATGGGATCAGACATGAAAAGACAGTTCCTGGAACCCCACAGCACAATGGCGTAGCCGAGAGGATGAACCGCACAATTGTTGAGAAGGTTAGAAGCATGCTCAGAATGGCTAAACTGCATAAGTCATTCTGGGGTGAAGCAATTCGGATAGCCTGTTACCTGATCAATAGGAGTCCATCAGTTCCATTGGAGTTTGACATCCCAGAGAGAGTTTGGACCAACAAGAAGGTGTCTTACTCACATCTAATGGTGTTCGATTGCAGATCTTTTGCACATGTATCAAAGGAGCAGAGAACAAAGCTGGATGACAGATTTGTTCCCTGCATATTCATCGGATATGGAGATGAAGAGTTCGAGTACAGATTGTGGGATCTTATAAAGAACAAGGTCATCAGAAGCAGATATGTAGTCTTCCGAGAAAGTAAAGTTGGAACTGCAGATGACCAGTCAGAGAAGGCAAAGAATGATATAATCCCTAACCTTGTTATCATTCCTTCTACTTCTAATTATCCTACAAGTGCAGAAAGTACGACCGACGAGGTTGCCGAGCAGGGGGAGAAACCTGGTGAGGTTATTGAGCGGGGGGAGAAACTTGATGATGATGTCGAGAAAGTGGAGTACCCCACTCTGGGAGAAGAACAACCTCAACCTTCGAGGAGATCAAAAAGGCCAAGGGTAGAGTCATGCAGGTACCCGTCCACAGAATATGTCCTCATCAGTGATGAGTGGGAGCCAGAAAGTCTTAAAGAGTTGATGTCCCATCCAGAAAGAACTAGTGGATGAAAGTCATGCACGAAGAGATGGAATCTCTATAGAAAAATGGCACGTACAGGCTGGTTGAACTTCCAAAGGGTAAAAGACCACTCAAATGTAAGTAGGTCTTTAAGTTCAAGAAAGATGAAAATGGCAAGCCGGTCAGATACAAAGCTCGATTGGCGGTTAAAAGCTCCGAACAGAAGAAAGGTATTGATTTTGACAAAATTTTCTCACCTGTTATCAAAATGACTTCTATTCGAACAATCTTGAGCTTAGAAGCTAGCCTAGATCTTGAAGTGGAGCAATTGGATGTGAAAACTGCATTTCCTCATGGAGATTTGGAAGAGGAGATTTATATGGAGCAGCCAGAAGGATTTGAAGTAGCTGGAAAGAAACACATGGTGTGCAAATTGGATAAGAGTCTTTATGGGTTGAAGCAGGCACCATGGCAGTGGTATATAAAGTTTGACTCATTCATGAAAACTCAAACATACATAAAGACCTATATGATCCATGTGTATAATGATACGCTCAAATTACACTTTAATTAAATAGTGTAAGGCGATCAGTGTCAAATATAGTAACCCAACAAGGTTGGGGTTGAATCTCACAGGGAATAGGCGTGAAAAGATTACTCGAGTAGTGTGTTACTTGACTTAGGTCTTAATTCTATTCCGTTATCGTAACAAGAGAAGGGTATAATTGTGAATTAAGAAGATAAGTAGTTTTGTTATGAGAATGTAAATGGTTTGATTAAGGAGACCAAGGTTGTGTCCCCGTCAATGGAATGTAATACTATCGGTGTTAATATGATATATTTCTAATGGAAGGTCCTTTGATATGCAAATGATTTCTAAATGACTACCCAATATTTTCCAATAGTTGGGTAATTTTTCTCTTTATGATTTTTCCAAATATGAAAGAGTTGCAATTTAAGAACAACCAATTTATTCCAAGTAGAACCCACTTATTCCTAAGCGATTCTATTAAACAAGATTTAAAGTCTTGAGTTCTTGATATTCAATTCTACCAAACTCTAACTAACTTTTCCAAGTAAAGAAAGAGTAAAATAGAATAGATTGATGTTTGCAACCACCAACCATAAATAATGAACAAGAATTGAATAAATATCAACCAACCATTATATATATATATATATATATATATATATATATATATTCAATGTTAAACACCCATTAACATTACACCCATCTAGGGTCCACAACCTTAGTATTTAAAACTAGCCACTCATGCTAAAATACAACAACAAAGTGTTTAATAAAGCCATAAAGCTTACAAAAGTGCAAGATTCCTTCTTCACAACCTTCCAAATAAATAGAGTATTCAATGCTCTCTATGTAGGACCATGTTTCAGACTTGAATGATCCACAAAAACCCTAGTTATTCTCTTTATAGTGGACCAAAAGTCGTGGTCAAAATCAGACAAAAATACCCCTTCAGATAGCTTATGCGACCGCATAACGGTCGCAGACCACTCATGCGGTCCGCATATTCTTCATTCCATCGCAGACTTGGTAAGTTCCTAGTTCTTGCTTCAGTCGCATACCGGTTATGCGGTCCGCGTGCGTGTTATGCTACTGCATATGCCATCGCACATCATGGTGAGAACTTTCTTCTACTGGAGTTGTGCGACCATTATGCGGCTCGCACAAGTCTTATGCGACCGCATAATGGACCGCATATTTTTTTCTTTATTTGGGCAATAAGTCTGTCCCTGCTTGCGATCACCATCTGAATTATGCGGTCCGCATGTGAATATGTTGCCGCATACTTGCAGCATATCCATTCTTTTGCGACCTTTTGACTTCTTTTCCATATTTTCGGTCTTCAAGCTCATGCACTACAAAACAACCAAACTTGATCAAAATTAACTAAAAATGAAGTAAAAGACGAGTTAAAATCTAAGCAATTGGTACCAATTGTGCCGAAATTCTATGGCACATCAATACCCCAACTTAAACTCTTGCTCGTCCTCAAGCAACTAAAACAAATTATCCTATTCTATACTACTTTTATTCCAGACATCCCACAAAACAATAATGACTATAGATGGTTTTGACTGACAGCTAACAAGCATGTAACCCCACTTATTTTCCCTTCTTGGAAGATAACTTATCACTCAACTATTCGACTAATCAATTCGTGACCTTAGAGCCTCGACCAAAATGACAAAATGCTATTCACAGCGAAGTGCACTTGTGTTCTACTTCAAGAACCTACCTTCTGCTAATTCTTACAATTCATCGCACTCACAACAAAGAAAATCCCCACTCACATATATGTACAGAGGATGCCTCAAAACACTGTAACCCTCAGAACGAAAGCTACATGCCACAAGTATCAGTCCATATGCTTGCCCTTATTTTAACTTTGCCGCTATCTCAGGAATGATTGACTGTCGATCACTAAGGACTTGTCACAGGTTATCATGCAGGCTTCGGGACGGGTTGGATGAATATTTGGGGATGTAGTGGCTATACCCTCCTTCAACTCTACATACATTGAATTCATTTATTACATAGCACTTGTTTACCTCGGGCTACCAACTTAGAATCACCTCAAAGTATTTCTTCAATTTTTTACAAAACTCCAATCTTTCTCTTTCTCTTTCTCTTTTTTTTCTTTTCTCATATATACACAATTTTTTTTTCTTTTTGACCTTGCCTTTATTATATACACAACTTCAGGTTACCCCATTTTTTTCTCTACACACAGTAGTAAACCTTGCCAATCTCCACTTTGTAATGGCACCCCCAACTTAGGCTTTTAGCCTCATTCTTACCTGTTCAAGGAGGGATGGGTTCACAAGACGGAATGATTTCACAGAAGGGGTAAAGGTTTGTAATGTGGTAGCCAATGAAAGGTTAAGAGCTCAACGGGAGTAACTAGAGTAGTTAATGTATCAGGGAGGTCAATTAAGACAAAATTGGCTAATAACCACAAAGAGGGCCTAAGATCATATCAGCAACCAATCATTAACTTGAGAATTGCACTTAGAAACCAGCTGGGCAAGTTCTAGACATCACAAGTTAGGCATGTGCATTATTTATACAAATCCTCACTACTCACAACGCATGAATTGTTCAACTCAACATAGTTTCAGCCCATATGTGACACAAGGCAACTCAAAACTTTCATATGAAGACATGTAAGATTTTGAATAAGTATAAAGTCGGAGAGCGAGCCTCAAATTCACAAAAATGACTAACCAACATATTGTATTTTTCTTTTCTCTTTTTTTTTGATTCAAAAGAAGGGTATCATATATTTACACCATTTAGCACATGCTTGAAGCTACAACTGTCAACTCCAAATAAGCCAAAAAATTTCATGCTACTGTCGTGGTTCTACTATTACACCCTTGGAAAAAAACCAGGCGCAGAAAAATCAAAGGGAATTCATTGCTAAACTACAAGAGTTTATACACAAAATATGGGGTACAACAAATTATTTACACAAAACATGGGGTACAAGATCATGATCATAAATACCCCACCCCCAACCAAAGATCATGCATTGCCCCCAATGCATATATAAAGCAAAAAGAAAGTTCTGCGACTCCCTGGGGCGCACTAGGCGCTCAGGGAAGCTGAAGGATCTAGGATAGTTGTGGCATCAGCTGTTGGTAGTGAAACTGCAGCTGGTAGAACCTCGGACTGAGTAGTATCCTCCACGGCTGGAGCAAGAGGCTCCAAGTGCTGTGAGGGTATAGCAGGAACCTCCACCTGCTGTGAGGCTAGAGCTGGGGCCTGGGAGCTACTAGCCTCGCCCAGTGATGGACGAATGGTCGATGGATGTGCCTTGGCGACCATATCTGCTAGCGAATGTGCAATTGCTGTCTGCACAGCTGCTTCCTCTTCATCCTCTGCCCTTGTAAAGACAGCAACCTGCTTACCCTTGTCTTGATGACCCTCAGTATCCTCACCCAGTGCTTCTTCATCCGTCTCCTCATCTCTTGACTCCCCCTCATCGGACTCCTCAGTATCTCCAGATTCCTCATCTGAAGGAACATCAATGCGAATAGGAGGACCAAAACTTGATATGCTCAAATTATACTTTAATTAAATAGTGTAAGGTGGTCAATGTCAAATATAGTAACCCAACAAGGTTGGGGTCGAATCGCACAAGGAATAGGTGTGAAAAAATTACTCGAGTAGTGTGTTACTTTACTTAGGTCATAATTCTATTCTGTTATCGTAACAAGAGAAGGGTACAATTGTGAATTAAAAAGATAACTAATTTTGTTCTGAGAATGTAAATGATTTGATTAAGGAAACCAAGGTTGTGTCCTCGTCAATGGAATGTAATGCTGTCGGTGTTAATATGATATATCTCTAATGGAAGGTCCTTTGATATGCAAATCATTTCTAAATAACTACCCAATAATTTCCAATAGTTGGGTAGTAATTTCTCTTTATGATTTTTCCAAATATAAAAGAGTTGCAATTTAAGAACAACCAATTTATGCAAAGTAGAACCCACTTATTCCTAAGCGATTCTACTAAACAAGATTTAAAGTCTTGAGTTCTTGATATTCAATTCTACCAAACCCTAACTCACTTTAGCAAGTAAAGAAAGAGTAAAATGGAATAGATTAATGTTACTTTACTTAGGTCATAATTCTATTCCGTTATCGTAACACGAGAAGGGTATAATTGTTAATTAAGAAGATAACTGATTTTGTTATGAGAATGTAGATGATTTGATTAAGGAAACCAAGGTTGTGTACCCGTCAATGGAATGTAATGTTATCGGTGTTAATATGATATATTTCTAATAGAAGGTCTTTTCATATGCAAATGATTTCTAAATGACTACCCAATATTTTCCAATAGGTTGGTAGTAATTTCTCTTTATGATTTTTTCAAATATAAAAGATTTGCAATTTAAGAACAACAAATTTATGCCAAGTAGATCCCACTTATTCCTAAGTGATTCTATTAAACAAGATTTAAAGTCTTGAGTTCTTGATATTCAAATCTACCAAACCCTAACTCACTTTTCCAAGTGAAGAAAGAGTAAAATGGAATAGATTAATGTTCGCAACCACCAACCATAAATAAAGAACAAGAATTGAATAAATATCAACCAACCATTATATATATATATATTCAATGTTAAACACCCATTTATATTACACCCATCTAGGGTCCACAACCTTAGTATTTAAAACTAGCTACTCATGCTAAAATACAAGAACAAAGTGTTTAATAAAGCCATAAAGCTTACAAAAGTGCAAGTTTCCTTCTTCACAACCTTCCAAATAAATGGAGTATTCAATGCTCTCTATGTAGCACCTTTTTTCAGACTTGAATGACCCACAAAAACCCTAGTTATTCTCTTTATAGTGGACCAAAAGTCGTGGTCAAAATCAGACAAAAATACCCCTTCAGATAGCTTATGCGACCGCATAATGGTCGCAGACCACTTATGTGGTCCGCATATTCTTCATTCCATCGCAGACTTGACAAGTTCCCAGTTCTTGCTTCAGTCGCATACCGATTATGCGGTCCGCATGTGTGTTATGCAACCGCATATGCCATCGCACATCATGGTGAGAACTTTCTTCTACTGGAGTTGTGCGACCACTATGCGGCTTGCACAAGTGATATGCGACCGCATAATGGACCGCATATTTTCTTCTTCATTTGGATAATAAGTCTGTCCCTGTTTGCGATTGCCATCTGAATTATGCGGTCCGCATGTGAATTATGCGGCTGCAAAATTGCAGCATATCCATTCTTTTGCGACCTTTTGACTTCTTTTCCATGTTTTCGGGTCTCCAAGCTCATGCACTACAAAATAACCAAACTTGATTAACTAAAAATGAATTAAAAGACGAGTTAAAATCTAAGCAATTGGTATCAATTGTGCAGAAACTTTACGGCACATCAACACCCCCAACGTAAACTCTTGCTTGTCCTCAAGCAACTAAGACAAAATTATCCTATTCTACACTACTTTTATTCCCGACATTCAACAAAACAGTAATGACTATAGATGGTTTTGAATTGATAGCTAACAAGCATGTAACCCCATTTGTTTACCCTTCATGGAAGATAACTTATCACTCAACCATTCGACTAATCAATTCGTGACCTTAGAGCCTCGGCCAAAATGACAAAATGCTATTCACAGCTAAGTGCACTTGTGTTCTACTTCAAAAACCTACCTTCTGCTAAGTCTTACAATTCATGCGCACTCACAACAAGGAAAATCCCCACTCACATATATGTCTAACCCTCGAATGAAAGCTACTTGCCACAAGTATCAGTCCGTATTCTTGCCCTTATTTTAACTTTTCCGCTATCTCAGGAATGATTGACGTTCAATCACCAAGGACTTGTCACAGGTTATCATATAGGCTTCGGGACAGGTTGGATGAATATTTGGGAATGTAGTGGCTATACATTCCTTCAACTCTACATACATTGAATTCCTTTATTACATAGCACTTGTTTACCTCGGGCTACCAACTTAGAATCGCCTCAAAGTATTTCTTCCATTTTTACAAAACTCCAATATTTCTCTTTCTCATTTTTCTTTCTTTTCTCATATATAATAATTTTTTTTCTTTTGGAGCTTGCATTTCATTATATACACAACTTGAGGTTACCCCATGTTTTCTCTACACACAATAGTAAACCCTACCAATCTCCACTTTGTAACGACACCCCTAACTTAGGCTTTTAGCCTCATTGTTACCTGTTCAAGGAGGGAGGGGTTCACAAGACAGAATAATTTCATAGAAGGGGTAAAGGTTTGTAATGTGGTAGCCAATGAAAGGTTAAATGCTCTACGGGGATAACTAGGGTAGTTAATGTATCAGGGAGGTCAAATTAGACAAAACTAGCTAGTAATCACAAGAGGGCCTAAGATCATTTCAGCAACCAATCATTAACTTGAGAATTGCACTCAGAAACCAACCGGGCAAGTTCTAGACATCACAAGTTAGGCATGCGCATTATTTATACAAATCCTCACTACTCACAACGCATGAATTGTTCAACTCACATAGTTTCAGCCCTTATGTGACACAAGGCAACTCAAAACTTTCATCTCAAGACATGTAAGATTATGAATAAGCATAAAGTGAGAGAGCGAGCCTCAAATTCAAAAAAATGACTAACCTACATATTGTATTTTTCTTTTCTCTTTTTTTTAGATTCAAAAGAAGGATATCATATATTTACACCATTTAGTACATGCTTAAAGCTACAATAGTCAACACCAAATAAGCCAAAACATTTCATGCTACTGTCGTGGTTCTACTATTACACCCTTGGAAAAGAACTAGGCGAAAAAGAAAATCAAGGGAAATTCATTGCTAAAATACAAGAGTTTATATACAAAATATGGGGTACAACAAATTATTTACACAAAACATGGGGTACAAGATCATGATCACAACTACCCCACCCCCAACCAAAGATCATGCATTGTCCCCAATGCATATATAAAGCAAAAAGAAAGCTCAGGGACTCCCTGGGGCGCACTAGGCGCTCGGGGAAGCTGAAGAATCTAGGGCAGTTGTGGGATTGGCTGCTGGTAGTAAAATTGGAGCTGGTGGAACCTCGGACTGAGTAGTATCCTCCACGGCTGGAGCAAGAGGCTCCAACTGCTCTGAGGGTATAGCAGGAAGCTCCACCAGCTGTAAGGCTGGAGCTGGGGCCTGGGAGCTGCTAGCCTCGCCCGGTGATGGCTGAGTGGTCGATGGATGTGCCTTGGTGACCATATCTGCTAGCGAATGTGCAATTGCTATTTGCACAGCTGCTTCCTCTTCATCCTCTGCCCTTGTAGAGACAGCAACCTGCTTGCCCTTGTCTTGATGACCCTCAGTATCCTCACCCAGTGCTTCTTCATCCGTCTCCTCATCTCCTGACTCCCCCTCATCAGACTCCTCAGTATCTCTAGATCCTCATCTGAAAGAACATCAATGTGAACAGGAGGACCAAAATTTGATACGCTCAAATTACACTTTAATTAAATAGTGTAAGGTGGTCAGTGTCAAATATAGTAACCCAACAAGGTTGGGGTCGAATCCCACAGGGGATAAGCGTGAAAAGATTACTCGAGTAGTGTGTTACTTGACTTAGATCGTAATTCTATTCCGTTATCGTAACACGAGAAGGGTATAATTGTTAATTAAGAAGATAACTGATTTTGTTATGAGAATGTAGATGATTTGATTAAGGAAACCAAGGTTGTGTACCCGTCAATGGAATGTAATGTTATCGGTGTTAATATGATATATTTCTAATGGAAGGTCTTTTCATATGCAAATGATTTCTAAATGACTACCCAATATTTTCCAATAGGTTGGTAGTAATTTCTCTTTATGATTTTTCTAAATATAAAAGATTTGCAATTTAAGAACAACCAATTTATGCCAAGTAGATCCCACTTATTCCTAAGCGATTCTATTAAACAAGATTTAAAGTCTTGAGTTCTTGATATTCAAATCTACCAAACCCTAACTCACTTTTCCAAGTGAAGAAAGAGTAAAATGGAATAGATTAATGTTCGCAACCACCAACCATAAATAAAGAACAAGAATTGAATAAATATCAACCAACCATTATATATATATTCAATGTTAAACACCCATTTACATTACACCCATCTAGGGTCCACAACCTTAGTATTTAAAACTAGCTACTCATGCTAAAATACAAGAACAAAGTATTTAATAAAGCCATAAAGCTTACAAAAGTGCAAGATTCCTTCTTCACAACATTCCAAACAAATGGAGTATTCAATGCTCTCTATGTAGGACCTTGTTTCAGATTTGAATGACCCACAAAAACCCTAGTTATTCTCTTTATAGTGGACCAAAAGTTATGGTCAAAATCAGACAAAAATACCCCTTCAGATAGCTTATGCGATCGCATAATGGCCGCAGACCACTTATGCTATCCGCATATTCTTCATTCCATCGCAGACTTGATAAGTTCCCAGTTCTTGCTTCAGTCGCATACCGATTATGCGGTCCGCATGTGTGTTATGAGACCGCATATGCCATCGCACATCATGGTGGGAACTTTCTTCTACTGGAGTTGTGCGACCATTATGCGGCTCGCACAAGTGTTATGAGACCGCATAATGGACCGCATATTTTCTTCTTCATTTGGCCAATAAGTTTGTCCCTATTTGCAATCACCATCTGAATTGTGCTGTCCGCATGTGAATTATGCAGCCGCATACTTGCAGCATATCCATTCTTTTGCGACCTTTTGACTTCTTTTCCATGTTTTCGGGTCTTCAAGCTCATGCACTACAAAACAACCAAACTTGATCAGAATTAACTAAAAATGCATTATAAGACGAGTTAAAATCTAAGCAATTGGTATCAATTGTGCAGAAATTCTACGGCACATCATATACTTCCAAAGATTTTCTAATAACAACTTTATTATATTATTGTTGTATGTGGATGACATGTTGATTGTCGGACAACATAAAGAGCTGATTGCAAAGTTGAAGGGAGATTTGTCCAAGTCATTTGAAATGAAGGACTTGGGCCCAGGACAACAAATTTTGGGGATGAAGGTAGTTGGAGAGCGAACAAGCAGAAAGTTGTGGCTATCTCAGGAGAAGTACATTGAGCGTGTACTGGAATGCTTCAACTTGAAAAGTGCTAAGCCAGTCAGCACATCTCTTGTTGGTCATCTGAAGTTGAGTAAGAAGATGTGTCCTACAATAGTAGAGGAGAAAGGGAACATGGCTAGAGTTCCTTATTCTTCAACAGTCGGAAGCTTGATATATGAAATGGTAAGCACCAGACCTGATATTGCTCATTCAGTTGGTGTTGTTAGCAGGTTCCTTTAAAATCCCGAAAAGGAACATTGGGAAGCAGTCAAGTGGATATTCAGGTACGTAAGAGGTACTGTAGGAGATTGCTTGTGTTTTGCAAGATTTGATCCAATCTTGAAGGGCTACACGGATGCTGATATGGCAGGTGATCTTGATAATAGTAAATCTACTACCAGATACCTGTTCACATTTTCAGGGGGGAGCTATATTATGGCAGTCAAAGTTGCAGAAATGTGTCGCACTCTCTACAACTGAAGTAGAATATATTGTCGCTACTGAAGCTGGTAAGGAGATGGTATGGCTGAAACGATTTCTTCAAGAACTTTGATTGCACCAGAAGGAATATAGAGTCTATTGTGACAACCAAAGTGCAATAGATTTGAGCAAAAAGACCATGTATCATGCAAGAACAAAGCATATCGATGTAACATATCACTGGATTCGAGAAAAGATAGAGGATGGATCTATGCAGGTCAAGAAGATCCATACAAGTGATAATCTTTCGGATATGCTCACCAAGGTGGTACCAAAAGACAAGTTCGAGCTATGCAAAGAACCTGTTGGCATGCACTCAAATTAGCAGCCCTCGTGTTACCTCCTTCACGTAGATGGGATTGGAGGGGAATATTATGGGGTCCATCCATCAATATAGGCATGTGCCTATATAACAATACTTGACTATTGTTCATTCTTGGGGACCAATTTTTGGAATGTGTGGAGGAGGATTTTAATCCTCCTGTAGAATACTTTAAGCCCACGGCTCTTTTTCCTTATAAAAGGAGAGCTTTCTCACTTCTTCAGACCAACAAAATAGAGAAAGAAAGAGTGAGGCATCACAGGCAGGGTATAAGAAAATAGTGTGTGAGGAAAATAGAGAGTGTGAGCGATATTGTAGTGAGGTGGAATATAAAAAGAGAGTTATTTCTGTTGAGTATTGTAGTGGTCTTTGTAGTATTTTACTCGGGCCTACAAAGTGTAAAATTCCTTACTATAATGATATCAGTTGCTCCTCTCGGGGTTGTGGTTTTTTCCCTTATTCAGAAGGGTTTTTCACGTAAAAATCTTGGTGTCGTTGTTACTCTTTTATTCTTGTTGATTACCGTATCTCAGTGCTACATTATTTTTCCGCTTTTATTACCGTAATATTATTTCTGTGGGGGGTTTATTCCCAACATTTATTTCCTTTTTTCAAAGCAAAAGGTTACCATTGTGTTGAGAGGTATAGGCATGACCTCAACCTGTATATTAACAACCAAAAAGTAATGAAGGAGTGAGACAATAGTTCTATCAACTTCATGATTATTAGTTTGAGTGGGTCATTTAACTTTACAGTTAGGGGTCATACAATACATGTACCCAAACTTAAATATTTTTTCATCCTCGAACAAAATAATACTATAATAGACGAAACAAAATTAAGCTCCTCACATTCAAAGTGCACTACACCTATGACTATGGTTGGTGGCAACAATTAAACTCTAGCATATGCATTCAAAACACACTTCCAAAACTCATGCCATACTTTCAAATTATTCACAACAAAGAAAAAATGCTCATAACAATCTAAGCCTCAAACTCAATGTCACAATGCGCTCACGGCTTGAACACCTAACATTGACGAGATGTCTAATAACGTTACCTATCCTTCATGAAACCATGTGCCCTCACAACAAAATTAAGGAGAGTAAGTAGAATCCACACATCTTAAATGATCAAATATATTTTAAGGACTCATATATATTAAAGAAATTGCTTACTCTCACAAAGAAGTCACATGCATGCAAGAGGTACCATAGGCTTGCCCATTATGTAAACCTCTACTAATGTAGGCTTGCTTGATCTAAATCAATTAGGACTTTTTCAAGGTTATAATGTGGGCTAAGGGATGGGTAGGATTTATTTAGGAATAGTGACTAACCCTCCTAATCACTTTAACACGTCATATATTTCTTTAACCGCAAATTCTTCAATCTCAACTTCAATTTCACAAATAAGATTGTGGGAATGCATGGGAGAAAAATCTATTATTGATGTTAATTGCAGTACAATAAACCATATTTATAAGTACACATAATATATATAACCTGCTCCTATTACATACGGGACTAGGACTAATTACATATATATTCACATAGCTATTGAAACACTCCCCCTCAAGCTGGTGCATACAAATCATATGTACCGAGCTTATTATATATGTATAACTAGTACGAGAATTAGTGAGGGACTTGGTGAAAATATCTGCAAGCTGATCATTCGACTTCACAAACTTTGTAGTAATATCTCATGAGAATATCTTTTCTCTAAGGAAGTGATAGTCAATCTCAATGTGTTTCGTTCTTTCATGGAACACCGGATTCAATGCAATATGAAGGGTAGCTTGATTATCACACACAAGTTCCATTTGGCTGATATCACCAAATTTCAACTCATTGAGCAACGGTTTGATCCAAACTAGCTCATATGTTGTCATAGCCATAGCTCGATATTCTGCTTCTACACTAGACCGAGCAACCACATTCTATTTCTTGCTCTTCTAAGACATCAAGTTACCTCCTACTATAACACAATATCTAGACATAGAACGTCTATCAAAAGGTGATTCTGCCCAATCAGCATCTGAGTATCCGACGATCTACTCATGGCCTCGATCCTCAAACAATAGCCTTTTGCCTGGAGCTTATACCGAAGAATGCGGGCAACTGCATCGCAGACTATCAGAGGGAGAATCTATAAACTAGCTCACAACATTCACAAGAAAAGAAATGTCAGGTCCAGTCATTGTAAGGTAATTTAATTAACCATCCAACCGCCTATATCTTGTAGGATCGCTAAGCGGCTCCCTTTGTCCTTGCAGAAGTTTAGAATTCGGATCCATAGGAGTGTCAACAGGTCTATAGCATGTCATTCATGTCTCCTCAATAATGTCTAAGGCATACCCACATTGTGAGATCACAATACCTAAGCTAGACTGAGCAACCTCAATACCCAGAAAATACTTCAATCTGCCCAAATCCTTAGTCTGAAAATGCTAAAAGAAATATTGCTTCAACTTAGTAATACCATCCTGATCATCTAATAATAACAATATAAGAAACATAAACCACCAAATAAATATAGAGATTTGAAGCAGAATGCCGATAAAATACAGAATGACCAGCTTCACTATGAGTCATGCCAAACTCTTAAATAAATGTGCTGAACTTACCAAATCAGGCTCGAGGAGACTGCTTTAGACCATAGAGGGACCGGCGCAACAGACATACAAGGCCACTAGACTCCCCCTAACCAACAAAACTAGTTGGTTGCTCCATATAAACCTCATCCTCAAGGTCACCATGAAGAAGCACATTCTTAGTGTCCAACTGATATAGAGGCCAATAGCGAACAACAACCATGGATAGAAAATTACGAATTGATGCTATCTTAGCCACGGAAGAAAAAGTATCACTATAATCAAGACTAAATATCGGAGTATACCCTTTGGCAACAAGATGAGCAGTAAGTTGATCAACCTGGCCATCTAGACCAACTATGACTGCATACACCCAATGACAACCAATAGTAGATTTACCTGAAGGAAGAGGAACAAGCTCCCAAATACCACTCGTATGTAAATCAGACATCTTGTAAATCATAGCATGTCGCCATCCTGGATAAGACAGTGCTTCACTTGTAGACTTAGGCATGGAAGCATAGGACAAAGATGATACAAATGCATAATGGGGTGATCACAGACGATGATAACTTAAATCGACATAATGGGGATTAGGATTCAGTATGGACCATATACCTTTCTGAAGTGAAATCAGTGGACTAGGAAGAGACAAGTCCATAGTAGGGTCAGGGTCAGGTGCAGGACATGAATCAGTTGGGCCTGATGCTGGATGCATATGACGATGATAAGTCAGGAGTGGTGGAGTTGTAGAAGGTTGAACTAGTCTAGGTGATGGAACTGGAGCTATAGGTAGTGGAGCTGGAACTGGAGCTGTAAGTGGTAGAGCTAGAATTGGAGCTGGAGCAGTAGGTGGTGAAGTTGGTGTTATAAAGGAAGATAATTCGGAGATAGTGACTTAATCTCCAAAAGATGGAACTGATAGTACCTCAGAAATATCTATGTGATCCCCTAGACTTGTGAAGTATGACTGAGTTTCAATGAAGGTAACATCAGAAGACATATGGTACTGCTGGAGGTCAGGTGAATAGCATCGATATCCCTTTTGCGTTCTCGAGAAGCTTCAACCAATTCTTCTGCGGTCTGGTAACAAAATGGCGGAGGTATTCCTCTAGCATGCTGATGAACCGCTCTATCTGGCCATCATATTGTGGATGGAAACGTGAACTGTGGCTCAATTTGGACCTGGGGCACTTAAAGAGCTGAGTCCAAAAGTTGCTAGTGAAGTGAGAGTCGCGATCACTAACGATGTTTTTAGGCAGGCCCCAATATTTGACAACATG